TAAATCCTTCTGCCAGCTCTTGAAATGACCCAAGGCAAGTAATTTAATTCAGTCTTTCTGTCACTGAAGGTAGTCAAGAAGGATTTAAGGATTTATATGCAATAAGAAACATGCTTTAGAGTTTTATCAGTCTAAGCTCTAAAGGTAGAAGAGGTGAGGGTGAGGGTTGAATGTTTTCACTCATTCCTGACCATTTTCAGCTCTAAGGACATGGTAAATTCTTCCATTAACTTTTATGCAGTGATCAGACTTCCTTAGTTTTTGGTGCCATATCATCATGAATACTTTCATTCTCTAAAGTTTTGGAAATTGTGATTGCTTAGTATATTATTCTTATTCTTGTTTTTTTACTATTTCTGATTACAGTAGACCCTCACTAGTTTATACAAAAGTTCTGTAAATTTGTAGATGATTTTAGGGAAATGTGGGTTATTTAAGTAATATTATGTTCAGGTAAATAGAGCTAAATGAAACCAACTTTGTTTTTGTTTTTTGTTTTTTTTTAAGATTTTATTTATTATTTGACAGAGAGAATGAGAGAGAGAGAGCATATGAGAGGGGGGAGGGTCAGAGGGAGAAGCAGACTCCCTGCCGAGCAGGGAGCCCGATGCGGGACTCGATCCCAGGATTCTGGGATCGTGACCTGAGCCGAAGGCAGTCGCTCAACTGACTGAGCCACCCAGGCGCCCTGAAACCAACTTTGTAAAGTTGTATTAGTTATTGCCCTGAAACTTAATGGCTTAAAACACCGCACATTTATTATCTCCTTTCTCTGAATCACGAGCTCAGGAGTGGAGTGGCCTAGCTGGGTACTTCTGGCTCAAGTATCACGAGGTGTGCAGTCAGCATGTCTTGGGGGTAGCCATTCTCCAGGGCTACTGGGGCTGGAGGATCTGCTTCTATTATGGCTCAGTCATGTGGCTGGTGAAAAGAGACCTTAGTTCCTCACTGGCTTTTGGCAGGAAATTTCAGTGCCTCACCTTGTTGGCCTTTACATAGGGTCTCCAGAGTGTCCCCATGACATGGCAGCTGGTTTCCCCAGAGGAAGAGTGATCCTAGAGAGAGCAAGGAGGAAGTTCTATGCCCTTTACGACCTTCAGAAGTTGCTTCACTTCTGCCACATTCTGTTTGTTAAAAGCGAGTCACTAAGTATAGTCCACATGCAAGAGGAGTGGAATTAGGCTCTACCTTTTGAGGGGAAGAATTTAAAAGAATTTTATGGACATATATTTAAACTGCAGTGATAGACACGGTTATATATTTAGCAAAGACGTGATTGGCAACAACCAAATTTATACTTATTTCTTTATTGTTTAAATGGTCTTATAGTTAAAACAGGTGTTTCTGCTACTTTATATATATATTCCTGAAAATTCTCATGTTCTCCAAAATTGTAAAATAAAAATAAAAGGGTTTATGGGAAAATGCAGTTGGAAGGGGGCAGGACTATAAGTCCATGCATCTTTATAACCCAAATACTAACAAAAGTAATGATGGGGCCTCGGGAGATAATCCAGATGGTCCCCATGGGCATCCTAGTGTGGCTGGAAGTTGAGTTGCCTTAAGGAATATTAAAACTGCACAATAACAGAACAATAGAAATGCTAGCTTGTGGGCACTGAGATAGCATATTTGCTGTGGGCTTTTTCCTTTGCTATTGAAAGTTATAATTCTAGAGTAAATCTTTTTGAACCAACACAATATGCATATTAAAATGACACCATTCCCCTATTTATAATCATATGAGCTAATTGGTATTAATGAATCACAATATGGTAGCAGAACAGACTGTAGTTTCCCTTAAATAAATAAATACTTCTCTTCTAATCATTTATTTAGTAAAATTCCCTGCTGATAGATAAGACTGAAGGAGACTTCAGTCGCTCTACTGTGGTCAGGTCTCTATCTCAGCTTGAAATACTTGCTTTTGCTGTCTATCTTTTCTCTTGGATCGTGTAAGAAATGCCTTAAATCTGTAGGAAATTAGAGTAACATTTCTTTTTTTTTTTTTTAAAGATTTTATTTATTTATTCATGAGAGAGAGAGAGGCAGAGGCAGAGGGAGAAGCAGGCTCCCCGCAGAGTGGGGAGCCCAATGCGGGACTCGATCCCAGGACCCTGGGATCATGACCTGAGCTGAAGGCAGACGCTTAACCGACTGAGCCACCCAGGCGTCCCTAGAGTAACATTTCTAAAATAAAAGTTTTAACGAATGATCCAACTTTCAACTGGTAGGCGTTGGTTACTTGGTGTTGTCAATATTTATTAGAGCATAGGACAATTGGAATTCCTCTGAATTGAGAAGTTTAAGAATTGGCAGGGAGAGATAAAATAATTCCTTATGTCATAGAATAAGGAAGTCTGATGCAAAGGAGGGTGCATCTGGGTTGTTGCCCAGGTATATAGTGCATATTCATCTCCATATTCCATGTACTCCATACACAGCCAAGTCCTGAGGACATGTCTGATCTGGAACACCCAGGGAGGGAGCAGACCACAAGGATATTGAAGTTCACTCAGAACAAGACAAGGAGGGGTTTTATTCAGACTGGGATGTTTAGGGCTTTCCAAGGACAGGCTGATCTTACCATTAGGCTCCAGGACTATTCAAGGCCCTTTGGGAATTTTTCTAACTAGAGAATAAAAAGCCTGTCTCTGTTGATGTCTCCATACTCTTTTATATATTTCTGGGATGTATCGTCCACTCTATCTGGTGATTTGTTCTAGGGCTTTCTCTAGGATTTCTGTGGAGTTGGGAGAATTGAAGGGCTATGTTTATGTATCCCTGTTGTCTTTTTCATCAGTCTGTGGTTACTCACAGATCTACACAAATGTGACAGGTTCACAAGTGTCCTTGAAGTCACTCTTGGATGTGGCTAAATTGTCTCCTTCTTTGCATTCATTAGTCCATATGTAAGTGTGTGTGTGTGTGTGTGCGCGCGTGCGTGTGCATGTGCACGTGCATAGTTAGATCAGATTCCTCGTCAGTGTATGTTAGTTTCTTACATTCATGGAAATTGGATTTTAGAAAGCGGTAGTCTGTTACACTTACCTTCTTCCCTACAGGAAGAGTGTCATGTAGAAAGGAGCTCTTAGACTGGGAGTCCGAGCATTTTTCTCTCTAGGTAAATGAACTCATATGGAAGGGGACAAGCGAAGGACTGGTCTGATCCATCACTGGCAGCCTTTGGCAAGTCAGGTCTGATCTGAAGTTTCCTGGGCTTCCTACCTCTTTGCGGGGCATTAACATCTGGTGACTGAACAAGTCAGTGGAGTTCTCCGCTCCCTTGAGGGTGTTAGCGGTGTGTAGTTGTTTGCTGGGCACCAAGTTGAAATAGCTAAACCACTGTTAAACTTCACTCTGGCCCAGCCCCAGCAAAATTATGTCGTATGCAGTATCTACTTTATAAAACATCTGATATACTGGGAGAAAGAGGAGGTGAAATTCAAACCCGCTGGTTTTGTTATTTCTGCCCAAAGGTATGTATTGGGAGGGTTCCAACACTCTGGATTTCTTGAGATCTATTTTTGGTGCTGCTACTCTTCCTGTTTCCTTTTCTAGCAGGTATTAGACATCTACCAAAACTACTTGGTATTTATGTGAATTTTTAAAATTCATAAGAATATAATTTCCCTTGAATATGTTTTTTCTGCTAGCCTTTGGCAACTAGGCAACTTTCCAAATAAATAGAACCCTTCTGGCTTAGGTCCTGTTCAAGGACATGTGTCTCTCATTAGTTCTTTCTTTTTTTTTTTTTAAGATTTTTATTTATTTGACAGAGATATACACAGCGAGAGGGGAACACAAGCAGGGAGAGTGGGAGAGGGAGAAACAGGCTTCCTGCAAGCAGCGAGCCCGATGTGGGGCTCGATCCCAGGACCCTGGGATCAGGACCTGAGCTGAAGGCAGACACTTAACGACTGAGCCACCCAGGCGCCCCTCTCATTAGTTATTTCTGAGCATGGGTTTCAGTACTCTTTGCCATTATACATTCAGTGTCTACAACGGGGAATGTTTTGCTCCTTGTTTATAACACTGTCATATATTAACCACAGTAGTTCTCCCATCCAGTTGATAGGACTTGTCTGAATATCAGTCTGCCAGATTCATTTCCATCTTGGAAACGAAGACTCTTAAGATCTTTCCCAGCGCTCTCTTTGTCTCTGAGTCGCAGTGCCCCTCTCTCTCTGTCTTCCCTCCATGAGTCACATGCACCACCACACAGCATCCTTCCTAGATTGGTGTTAAGTCTGTCCTTGAGTACTTAACCTATCATTATAGAGTAACATTTTCTTATTAGAAAAGTTATTTTTTGTCTCCTTAACAGTAAATGTACATCGAGTAACTGTAGGAGCAAGAACATCAGCAGTTAATTCCATTAAAACTGATTAGTTTCATTAAATGCTAGATCTTGAATGTTATTTCCCTATCTCAGTCTATAATATTTTCTTTTTAGTGTACTTAAGTTAACTCTAGCCATTTATAAAAGTCTTGAAGTTATCCCTTTTTTAAATGTAAAAAAAAAAATGTGCAGGATATAGAAGGAAATAAAACTTGGGTTTAACAGAGGACGTAAAATAGTCTTTTCCGAGCGTTTTAAGGAAAAAGCTTTTCTTCACCTAAAATTAAAATGTCTGTGGAGTAGATGTGGTAGTTCTTAACCATAATTGTATTATTGCGGATTTCAGAGTCTCTCAATTGTAAATTAGATTGTTGCCCAATAATTATTCTCTGTTGCCCTGATAGTTTATCTGGTATGCCAATGAGTTGGAAAAAAGCCCAATTGTAGGGCACCTGGACGGCTTAGTTAAGTGTCTGCCTTCGGCTCAGGTCATGATCCTGGGGTCCTGGGATCGAGTCCCGCATCGGGCTCCCTGCTCAGCGGGGAGTCTGCTTTTCCCTCTCCCCTCTCCGTCAAATAAATGAATAAAATCTTAAAAATAAATAAATAAAAAGAGCCCAGTTCTTTGGACTAAAATGTTTGCTTGTGTTTGTTTCAGGAAAACCTCACAGCACCGGTAGCTCTGAAAGGATTCAGCTCTCAGGAATGTATAATGTCCGTAAAGGCAAAATGCAATTGCCGGTGAACCGATGGACCAGACGCCACGTCATCCTGTGTGGGACCTGCCTGATAGTATCATCTGTGAAAGACAGCTTGACCGGAAAGATGCATGTTCTGCCACTAATTGGTGGAAAAGTAAGTTTAAAACGAACAAAATACTAACAGGTTTCCCAGTGTCAGTAAGCTTACTTTGAGCCATTTCTTTAATATGGGGTCCATGGTTTTCACTCATCTAAGGTCTAATTCAGTTCCTGTTGTGCTCTACCAGTGGGCATGGTTGGATGGTGGAGTTGTGGAAGATAACAATGCTGTTGGCCCACGGGAGGCCCCGGTGATCATTACTTTATTAGTGCATGCATCTTACTTATAGGCTTGAAAGCAGAGCAGCTAAAATTCAGTATTATATTTTAGGCTGTAGATGATAAATTATTCTTTATGAGTAGACATCTCTTGATATCTTGAGTATGTATTGTGTAGTATAGTATAATGACCCTGAAGTCCATGGCTTTAGGACCATTCAAGCATGGTTACCAAGGGTTAGACTATCTCTCTTGCATGAATCTTTGATCCAACTTTGGCATACCTGTCTCTCTTTGTGCAGTGACCAGTGAAGTTAGCATTTTTTTAAAGATTTATTTGAGAGAGGAAGAGAGGGCATGAACAGCGGGAGGGGCAGAGGAGAGGGAGAAGCAGGCCCTCCACTGAGCAGGGAGCCCCACACGGAGCTCTATCCCAGGACACTGAGATCATGACCTGAGCCGAAGGCAGACACTTAACTGACTGAGCCACCCCGGTGCCCCAGAATTAACATTTTTTAGTTTATCAACTTTAGCTAGTCATAATTTTTCAACCTGAAATGTTAACTTGTTTCAGAGAAAAACTGTGATACAGCTGATAGATATTACCAACATCACTATCTGCTTTTCTTGGGGCGTGATAATTATTTTATTCCTATCATTTATAAACTAGAAAGAACCAGATTGCTTGGGAAAATCTTACATTCTTTTTTTGCCAGGTCGATTTATTAATACCCAAGTGTTGGTGGGAGTATCATTACCATAATTATATGTTAGTATTTCCTGATTTTTAAATGATACGATAATCTCTTAATAAATGGGAAGGCAAATTTGGATGAAGAAAAGGGTTTTTGAAAATTGGGGGCATATTAAGCAAATATTTTCTTTACCATTTTTCTTCCTGAATGAGCATGGGAAAGAAGGCAGAACATGGAGGATATAAATAGAGGGGTAAAAAAAAAACAAAAAACAAAACCAAAAAAACCCCACAACTTTTGTTAAAGTGAACTTTTTAAAATGGGCAAATGTTTAAATCTGCTGGTTCCAGGGATTAGAAATGAATAAGGTAAAATCAAGTGTGTGCAGTAGTAAATGGCTTTGTTACTCACCTGCTGTGTAGCAAATTCATTCTTCATTCATAATTCAGTTGTTCCTTCTGTAAATAGCCCATGTCAGTTCCCTACCCACCCCTCTGCTAGTATGCATTCTAATCTTAAAAAGACTAATACTTGATCATTTAAAAAAGATTTTGGCCAGGCTGCCAGGTATATTTAGATCTATTTCAGTCACCTGTTTTGAAACCATTACTTAACTTTTGTCTAAGCATTGAAGAACTAGTGGTATCTATTACTGAAGATTTTGTCCTCTGGATTGAATTCTGAAAAATTAGTCATCATTATTACTCCCATAGGTCATCATTACAAATGCATATTTAATGTTTGATGCCCTGTTAGGTCAACAATCTGTTTCTTTCTTCTCTATGATGTTAGGCATTTGCTTAGGCAAATTTAATACAACTATTTATTAAATAACCTCTGTGGGGAAGCCACTTTGCTCGGTGTTGCAGAAATACCAAGGTGGGTAAGTCATCATCCCTGCCTTTGAATTGCTTATAATTTATCCAGAGGTGAAGGATGGGCACAACGATATCTGCTCTAAGAGAGATGCAGAAAAGTAGTGCAGGAGATGAGTGGAGGAGAGATTACATTTTCTTGTGGGGAATCAGGGAATTTTGTGATGAAGGAGGTAGCAATTACAGTAAAACTTGAAGGGTGAAAAATCTCTTGACATGTGAAGGAGATGGCCAGAAAGATTATTGTGCTCAGAGAAGCCAAGGCAGGAAAGCAGTGGAATGTTCAGATAAGGTCAGAAGATCGAGTTATAATTAGCATTTTCATTCAGAGCTAGAGACTTGTCTTGTTTCCCAGGCCTATTATTGGATGGACTTCTACCATTGAATAAATTGAAATAGCTTCCTTTTCTCACAGACCAACCTTGTAAAACCTGTTTTGCACTATGCCTTTAAAAATAATTGAGTATGTTGAAAAACAGTCTTTTAAAACCTGTTGACCGAGTTAGGGAAAAATAATTCAGTCTTTGCAATCTGAGTTTTCATTAATGTTTATCTGTTCCTTTTTTCATTCTGCTGTTTCATTCTGTTAAAGGAAAAACTAAGAGTAAATAGAAGGTTTTTATTTTTGTTTTTTATAAATATATGTGAAGAAGAGCTAGAAATGAAGTGTGAGATAGATTGGCCATAACCCTAGCAATAATTGTTGATAATCAAATCTGACAACCACTTGAGCATGATCATTTAGTTTACATTTTCAAATGTCAGATTCCAACTATGAAGTTAAACGAAGCACTCTTAAAATTTAATTGTTGGGGAGAAATTATATAATAGGTAAATTTCTATTCATTGTGCAAGTGTTAGGTTATTTAATTTATCCTTTAAAATTTAACAGATTTTTAGATATCATATTTTAATATTTTACTTAATATTTGCTAAATTATGCATAATAAGTTGAATAACCGTTAACCTACTACTCAGTTTAGGAATCATGGCAGTATCAGTACCAATGTTTCTACCTGTGTCCACTTTCATCTTTCCCGTTGCCTCCCCAAACCCCAAAGGTATCCACCCATTGTGCTAGAATTTATATTCATCATTTTCTTTTTTGAAATAAGTTTAATCTTTTTTGAAATAAAACTATGTTTTGCTTTTGATCTGAATAAAAATGGTATTGTACTACGTGTGGGCTTCTGTGATTGAATTTTTCCACTCAGTATTATGTTGTTTCATAACAAGATTCTATGTTGCTTGCTGTATGTGGTTTTCATTTGTGTATAATGTTTCCCTCTCTAAATGTTCTAAATTCTCATAATTTCTTAAGTAATTTTCCTGTTGATGGACATTTGGGTTGCTTCTAGTTTTTTGTTATTATAAATAATGCTGCTGAAATAGTCTTATATTGATATGCGGCCTGGTATGCAAGTAGATTTTCTAGGGCAGTAGTTCTCAACTCGAGTTACTGTGCCCGAAAGGGACATTTGGTAATATGTACAAGTGTTTTGATTGTGAAATTATTGGACAGTCAACAAATCGGCTAAATTATTCTATAGTAACAAATCCCCCCAGATGTCAGTGACTTGACATAACCGCATTTTCTCATTCCCCTAAATGTCCACTGTGAATTGGTGGAGATTTCTTTTTTCACATAACTGTCTGGGGACCCAGCCTAATGGAGGCTCTGCTCTCCTAAAACATTTGGAACATGCAACCTTCTTTTGGTGCTGAGGCAGAGGCAGAGACAACAGAAGACTCATGAACTGTCTATTGTATATTTGGAAGCAGAAGTGACCCTATGTCACTTCTGCTTATGGCTCATTGTCCAGAACTAGTCACATGACTTCACCTTAATTGCAGAGAGTCTGGAAAATGTGGAAAGTAGTGTTTGGTTAATATTAATATCTTTGGTGCAAGGGGAAAATATTGGCATTTATGGGGCAGGGGCTCAGAGAATGAAATGTCATGCAAAGTATTAGTACTGCACCATGTACAGTGAACTGTTTAATTCAAAATCCTGTAATAAATGACCTCCTTGAGAAATGCTGCTCTTAGATACAGACTTAGGAGTGCAGTTACTGGGCTATAGGACATATGCACATGCTACAAGATGATATCAAATTATTTTCCAACGTTGATGCACCATTTTACAGTCACATCAGTGTACAAGTGTTCCTGTTTCTCTACATCTTCACCAAATTTTATTGAGGTATAATTGACCTATAGGAAACTGCATATTTTGATAGTAATTTGATAACAGTAGAGGTAGCTAAATACACCCATTAAACCATCGCCACAATGAAGAAAAATGATCATAACACCCTCAAAAGTTTCCCTGGGCTACTTTGTACCCCTTTCCTCCCACTCTTTTCCTCTCACTTTTCCCCATCCTCCAGAAATCACTGGCCTGATTTCTCTTAATATTGATTAGTTTAAATGGCATTTTAAAAAAACTATATTTTCTCTTTAGTGTATAGAAATGCAGTTGTCTTTTGAGTATTGATTTTATATCTAGCCACCTTGCTAAATTTTCTTTTTTATTCTAATATAATGTCTATAGATTGTTTGGAGTTTATTATGTAGCTAATCATGTAATATTTAAATAATGACAATTTTCTTCCTTCTTTAATACATTTTTGTGTCTTATTGTAATGGCCAGAACTCTATAGTATTGAATAGAAACAGTAGATACTTGTCATCTCAGTGATCTTAAAGAGAGTGGTATATCATCATCATTAACACTGAAGTTTGCCTTAGATGTTGAAAAATACCCTTTGTCAGCTAATACCAAGTTGTTATTTGTGTTCTTAGTTTGCTAGGAGTTTTTATCATGAATGATGAATAAGTGGTGAATGTTACCAAATGCTTTTTCTGCAGCTGTGGGGATGATCATATGGTTTTCTTCTTTCACCTGTTAAAGTGATTAAAGATCTTATAGTTCCAATAATATTATATCATCTTGCCTTTCCTGAGGTAAATCCAATTTGTTCTTGATATGTAGTTTTTTTTTTAATTTAAATTCAATTAATTAACATATAATGTATTATTTGTTTCAGGGGTATAGGTCTGTGACTCATCAGTCTTATATAATACCCAGAGCTCATTACAACACATACCTTCCCCGAAGTCCATCACCCAGTTATTCCAACCCCCCACCCCTCCCCTCCAGCAACCTTCAGTTTGTTTCCTAAGATTAAGAGTCAAAAGATTTTATTTATTTATTAGAGAGAGAGCAAAGCAGGGGGAGAGGGAGAAGCAGACTCCCCACCCAACAGGGACCCTGACTCAGGGCTCAATCCCAGGACCCTGAAATCATGACCTGAGCTGAAGGCAGGCACTTAACCAACTGAGCCACCCAGGCACCCCTTGATGTATAGTGGGTTTTTTTGTATTTCTGGATTCTACATGTCTGTATTTATTTATTTATTTTTGTATTTCTGGATCCTGATGCAACATTTTGTTCAAGATAAGTGTTCATAACTGAGACTGACCTATAATTTTCCTTTCTGTTTCTGCTCTGATCTGTTTTTGGTTATAAAATAGGTTGGGGTATTTTTCTTCATTTTTTGTTTGGTAGATGAGTTTGCACAAGTTTGGAATGATCTGTTTCTTGGAATTTTGGTAAAATTTATCTATAAAACCATATGGGCCTGATATTTCTTGAGAAAAAAAATTAATATTCAGTTTCTTAAATGGTTATAGGACTATGTAGGCCTTCTGGTTTTTTTCTTGATTTAGTGTTAGTAAAATATATTTTCTTTGATTTTGCCATAAAATTGCTTATAATGTTCTTTTAAATCTCTGCTTAATCTGTAATCATGTCTCTTCATTATTAATGGTATTTATATGTCTTCAGTTGATATCATTGACCAATATCAGTTGACATTTGATTTTGTTAGCCTTTTCAAAGAACCAGTGTTTTGTTAATGTTCATTTTCTCTGTTGTATATTTGGTTTTCATTTCATTAATTTCTGCTTTTTATTATCACCTTTATTCTACTTTGAGTTTATTCAGTTTTTGATACGGTATTTTTTCCCCTAAGTTCTTGAGACACATATCAATGAAAACAATTTTCTGCCTTCTTTTCTAATATGAGTATTTAAAATTACAAAATTTCCCCTATATACTGCTTTTGTTGCATTCCATAAATTTTTATATGTAGTACTTTCTTAATGGTTTAGTTCTAAGAATACCTAAATTTCTATTATGACTTTTTTTACTTGTTTAGAAGTGTGTTACTGGTTTTCTAAGTATACTTGAATTTTAATTGACTTTTTATTATTGACATCTAACTTTTGTGTTTTGGTCCTAGAACATAGTCTGTGATACTCATCTTTTTGAAAATTTTTTATACTTTCCTTGTGACTTGTGATCATTTTTGTAAATGAAGCATAGGAGCTTGTGTAATATCATGTTAGTTTATTATCTGGACTTTTCCTCCTTAGGAAGAATTTACTGGGAATGGAAATTTGATTTGACTGTATCACTGCTTTATTAGGACTTGAAGGACTAATTAGGACTCTTGGTAGAGTTTTATTTCATTGTTAACCTCAATTTCATGTTAAATTTTTAAAAACTTACCTAACATGCTTGAAGACCTTTTTCAAAAGGTTGTAATTCAGAATAATACAAAAGTCCCTTAAAGTAAAAAATTTACCTAGACTAAAAATCCTTAAGTAAAATATTAAGGACAACTCCGCCCAAAGGAAGGAAGAACCTCAACACCCTATTGTGATGATAGAGAAATATAAGGAAGGGAGTCTGTTCCAATTTAAACAGGAAGAAAAGAATTTCACTTTTGTGGGGGAAATCTAAAGAAGATAAAACTCCCCATTTTCGATTTCCTTGTAATTCAAATTGGTTGGTCAGACTCAGGAACTTAACACATTTTAAGTATTAAGAGGAACATATGTAGGGAAAGATGCAAATCCGTGCAGGGTCACTGGCCCAAGGTATGGTTAATGAACTATGTAAATGGTCTGCTTTCCTGACTCGTTTTTGTTTCTGTTTGTTTTTATAGGTAGAAGAAGTGAAAAAGCACCAGCACTGTTTAGCATTTAGCTCCTCTGGACCCCAAAGCCAGACATACTACATTTGTTTTGATACATTCACAGAGTATTTAAGGTGGCTTCGACAAGTCTCCAAGGTAAGTGCTTGTTCAGCTTCTAGCTGGCTCAAGAGTTCCTCTCTGCTTTACCCAGTTCCAGAATGTAGTATTATACTTTTTTTTTTTTTTTTTTTTGCAGATACTGCTAGTAGTTTGCAATTTTTAGTTTTGTAGAAGCTCATTTTGGCTGAAAAGTAGCCAATTAAAAAATTTTTAAGTGTATTTCATTTGTTAGATTTTGTTTATCCTAAGGGGGGAAAAGAGAATTCAGTGGGTAGACTGGCATTACTGTCTTAATGTTATAGATAAGGAACATAGGCTAAGAATATTTAAGGGACTGGCCCAGGGTAGGACAACTGCAAAACCACAAAATACCCAGAGAATTGTTACAAATTTCCCCTCTTCCTCTATTTTTTCATATAAGTGGTTTAAACTGTGCCATCTCCTTTTCACCAGTTCAACTTCTGCCTTTCGAATGGCTTACTTTCTTTTCACATCTTCATTATTTTGACCATTTTATAGTCCCCTAATTAAATAAGATCACCATGACCTATGAAACAGTATATGTGTGTGTGTGTGTGTGTGTGTGTGTGTGTGTGTGTGTGTGATGGAAGCTAGAATAACATAATGAATAAGATAAATAAGTGTTGGTATTTCAGATAGTGTGTGTGAAGATTATTTTACATCACATTTATAGAATTGTGTGTAAAATGGGTGGATTGTAGTACTTTGTGCCTTGGTTTTGGCTGTGTTTATGAAATGATGAAACCTCTCTTGGGTGCAGAAGCATTACTTTGGAATTTGCTTTCATATTTTTGAATTTATAATCCAGTTTGCTATCCAAGTTCAATATGATTCAGACTGCTGTATGATGTAATTATTTATCAAGTGAATGAATAGGGAATGACTTTGTAAAACAGTTAATAGAAAATTCGAGAACAACGTCTAGAAAGACTTTGTGAAATACTGGCTACCCTTGAATTATCAGATAAAAACTGTGTTGTCTGATGATGCCTAACATTTATGAACATTAGTTTCCCCTGCTTTCAGAGAGGTAGCAATAGAGGCAGAATTTGGATTGATAAGACTCAGAATTCTCCTAACCTTATAGGCAAGTGGAAGGGCAGCACCCTGCTAGAGAAAATGGGAAAGATGACATTTTTCCTACAGACGTGCATGTACAGTTAATGTGGTATTAGAGGCAATAAGTACATCTATCTAGTTGTTTTAAAATTACTTTCGTGGTTGCAAATGTGAGGAGACAAGTATTAAATACTGTGCTTTGATATTTAAGTGTTTGCATGGGTTCAAGGCAATAAGGCAACAACCTACACTCTGCTTTATTCAGAATAAAATGCCAAAATGTGTTCAGAGTGCATTAAATTTCTTTCTATATGGAGACATTGATTTTTTTTAAATAAACTTTTTATTTTGGAATAATTTTCTATTTACAGAAAAGTTGTAAAGATAGTACAGCGAGTTTCCACATAGCCCCACCCAGTTTCCCAAACATCTTCCATTACCATGATAGATTTGCCAAAACTAAGAAACCAGTATTAACACATTACTCTGAAATAAACTCCAAAATTTATTTGGATTTTACTAGTTTTTCCATTAATGTCTTCTTTCTGTCCCAGGGTTTAATCCAGGCTACCACATTGCATTTGACTGTCATGTCTCCTTTGTCTCCTCTATCTCCTCTAGTCTGTGTCAGTTTTTCAGTTTTCCTGTGTTTTTTTATGGTCTTGACAGTTTTGAAGAGTATTGGTCAGGTATTTTATAGAATGTTCTACGTGGAGATGTTTTGATCTTTTAAATCAAATCCAGTGTCATAGTCAGCTGCTTTGCATTCTTTTTGGAACAGGTCAGAGGTATAAATTCTTAAACATGGATAAAGATGTAAATAAACATAAATTATCAAGCTTACCAATGACAGGTTGTTTTGATTGAAACAATAACAGAAAGATTAATAGGTATTGAGTTTAATAGTCCTATATTAGACATCCACACAATTGGTAAGTCACTGTTCTGAAGCTGGCAAGCATTTATTAAGCACCTTCTGTATGTTAAGTATGTGTTCTATGTACTGGGATATAGCAAAGAACAAGTCTAATTCCCCTCTCTTGGGAGCACTTACATTGCGGAAGTAGATGGTTAATAAGTAAACACACAAAGAAAACATCAAATAATCACAGTGCTGTAATACAAGTTATAATGCCAGAGTATAATGGAGGAGGAGTAACTCTGAAGAGGGGACATTTAAACTGGAACTTCAGGGAAAGAAGTATCCAGTTATTTGAAGATGTCATGGGAAGAGTTTTCCAGGCAGTCAGAGAAGATAGTGTGAAAGTGCTAAGACTGGAACAAGGGATGTGAAGTCAGGGAAGGCAGGGGTCTTACGTTACAGAACGGGATAAAGAGTCTGGATTCTATTATTGGCATAATGGCAAGCCATTAAAAGAGTTCTCTTCCAAAAAGTTACATGATCTGACATTGCAGTTGTGTGGAGGACAAGAAGAAAAGCAGGGGGTTCTGACTGGCAGGAGGCTCTTATGGTATGTTCCAGGCAAGAGGTGAGAGGAGAAACGGAGAGAAGTGGATAGATGTGTTTTGAGATGTGTTTTGAAGATTGAGTGACAGGATTACTTATAATTACATATCAAGCATGAGGAAAAGGTCGGAATGAAAAATGGCTTCTAGGTTCTTGCTTTGAATAAGGAGGTAAATTGTAGCCTCAGTCAGAAACCATAGCACTAATTAGACTTTTTATATTGGCACCTTTAAAACAATGGCAAAATACAGTTTTTAACTTCAAAGAGTTTGTTTCTAGAGAGACAGCAAAGAGGTGAGGCAGAAGAGGTAGATTGTGAAACATCTCTTTAATGGGGTGTGGAAATCGTTGATTTCTAACGCTGTTGGTGATCATAAAGGTCAAATGTTAGTTTGGTTAGTACTCTTCACTGTCGCTGGTTGGCTAATATGCCATCTCCATGGTCTAATAGGGTAGTGTATCTGGAACGAGGCTCTCTCTCTGATTATCCGAACCACGAACAGACGCACGCATCAGGCCGCTCAGTAGGAGAAGGTGGGGGGTGGAAGGAGAATTGTGACATAGGAGAAGGTGATGGTGGCAAGGTGGAGGAGTGTTGGTGTGAGTTTCCTCTTCCACTGATTATTGTATTGCCGTTACAAAGTGATGTGTAATGCAACTGCAAGCAGATCATTCACACGCACATAGATACACAACAAGCCTGCAGCTTACGTTTCACACAGGTGTGGGTGGGTGCGTCCAGGAGGGAACGGAAGCTAATTACCTTAAATTATGAGTATTAATAAGTGGTTAACTAGTAGTTGGCTGGTATTAGTGAGAACGAATTCAGATCAGAACCTTAACCTCCTTTCCCTTCAAAAAGGCTCTGAATGTTTAGAGAAGCCAAATAGTGTGGGAGTGAAGAGTTCGGGTTTCAAACTAAAGCAGACATAGATCCTACCGTTCACTGGCCCTGACACTGTGTCGAAGCTTCTAAATTTTAGGCCTTTTCATTTGGTAAAGGGAATAGTAATAGTACTTATCTCCTAGGGCTTATGTCAAATATGCACATGATAGACTTATCCTGGCACACAGTAGATTTTAACTGTTTGTGCGTGTGTGTGTTTGTGTGTGTGTGTATGAGAATGACTAAATAAGTAAAACAATTTTATGGCCATCATTCCTGCTGTTATCATGGATTGGCCAGACGATCTTTTTAAAGTATTACCTGTTTTTATGTTTATTTTAAGCTTATAAAGATGCACATATGCTTGGTTTATCTGAACAAAGGACCTTTTGCTGTTCTTAACAGCCACAGCAGCCTTTTGGGGTAACATAATTAGGGATGGCAGATGTAGGGGAGAAAGATTTCTTCCTGAAAAGTCAGGAGTCAGGGACAGAGGGCAGAACATCTTAGTAAATGCATATTTTAGATACAGTGTCTTTCCTTTCTCCATTCTTTTTTTTTTTTTTTAAGATTTTATTTATTTATTTGAGAGAGAGAGAGAGAATGAGAGACAGAGAGCATGAGAGGGAGGAGGGTCAGAGGGAGAAGCAGACTCCCCGCCGAGCAGGGAGCCCAATGCTGGACTCGATCCCGGGACTCCAGGATCATGACCTGAGCCGAAGGCAGTCGCTTAACCAACTGAGCCACCCAGGTGCCCCCCTTTCTCCATTCTTAAAAACCAGATAAACACTTCGAAAGTTTTTAGAAGTTTTTACGGTTGGTGAATTAAAGGAGAAATGAGTTGTTAAGGTGTTGGTTGAAGAGGTTAGATATTATAGAAGGAATCAGTGTGAGAGCCCCTTATTTGGTTGTGAATCCCATATAAAACAGCCGTACTCTTCTTTAAACTTCGTATCTTAAGGGTGGTCCTGTGCTCTTATCTTTTTCTTTAATCCAGCATCCTGGGAGAGTAGGTTGGGGCCCCTGGAAAGAGGATATGAGGAGCTCGGTCCATTGGGGGTATGTGCTTGTGGGAAATTTGGAGTGGCCAAAGCTGACTCTTAAAAGCCACTTATACTTTCAGCTTCCGTTTCCACCGTCTCTGTTCTTCCTCATGTCTGTAGGCATTAGGAAGTTCCACAGTTTAGTTGTTCAGGGTTACTGTGGAGACTTTCTTTTCCTTTTCTTATTGAGAAACACAACATTCACAGAATGGAATGTCTATACATCCTAATGTTTATTTTTTTCTCTTCTTTGCATTATCTTTTAATCTTTTTTAAAATTTAAATTCAAATTATTAATATATAATATATTATTAGTTTCAGAGGTAGAGGTCAGTGATTCATGAGTCTTATATAATACCCAGGGCTCGTTACATCACATGCCCTCCTTAATATCCATCACCTCGTTACCCTACCCCACCCCCCAACAACCGTCAGTTTGTTTCCTGTAGTTAAGAATGTCTTATGGTTTGTCTCTCTGATTTTGTCTTGTTTTTCCCTCTCTTTCCTATGATCCTCTGTTTTGTTTCTTAAATTCCACATATGGGTGAGATCATATGAT